AAAGAAGAGCAGCTAAAGCCAGAAGATCCCTGGACTAAAGAGGAAACCATGGAGCTCCCCATCAGTGAGCAGGAGGAGCAGCTGCTCCTCAAGCAGCAGACTGGAAAGATAGGAGAGAAACCTCTCCCCAATGATATGACGGAAAGCTCTCTGGACAAAGATCATTCAATGTGTTACATGAGAAAAAACAGAGGTAACATGATTTATGAATGTCTGTCCTGTGGAAAAAGTTTCATCAAGAAATCTCACCTTGAAGCACACATCAGAACTCACACAGGAGAGAAGCCTTTCTCCTGTATGATTTGTGACACAAGATTTAATCAAAAAGGTGCTCTGACTGCTCACATGAAATGTCACTCAGATGAAAGACCTTTTTCCTGTGATACATGTGGAAAAACATTTAAAAGAAGGAGTGTTTTGAATCAGCACCTGAGAGTACACTTACGAGAGATTTATAAATGTCTGTCCTGTGGAAAACACTTCCCTACAAAATCCCATCTTCATAAACACGTCAGAATTCACATAGATGAGAAGCCCCTATCCTGTTCAATTTGTGACAAACATTTTACTCAAAAATGTGAACTGACCTCTCACATGACAAGCCACTTAGATGAAAGGCCTTTTTCTTGTAACACCTGTGGAAAACTCTTCAAAACAAAAGATGGTTTAAAACAGCACATCAAAGTCCACACAGGTGAGAAGCCTTTCCTCTGTTCGATCTGTAGCAAAAGGTTTACTTCAAAAGCTACTTTGACTTATCATATTAGAAACCACACCAGTGAAAAGCCTCATGAATGCAAGTACTGTGGAAAAGGCTTCAGCAGTAAAACTGCCCTTGATAGGCACATCCAAATTCACACAGGGGAGAAGCTCTTCTCCTGTACGATTTGTGGCAAAAGTTTTACTGAATATGGTCATTTAAATTCTCACATGACGACTCACTCAGATGAAAAGCCTTTTTCCTGTAAGAGCTGTGGGAAAACTTTCAAAAGAACAGATTCTTTAAAAGAACACAGCAGAATCCACACAGGTGAGAAGAATCATAAATGTCTGTCCTGTGGAAAAAGCTTCCTGAAGAAATGCTATCTGGAGAGACACATCAGAACTCACACGGGTGAGAAGCCTTTCTCCTGTACAATTTGTGGCAAACGGTTTTCTGTAAAAGCTAGTTTGAGTCATCACATTAGCATCCATACAGCAGGGGTAACCAATTAAAAATCAGCAGGTTCAAATAAAGAAAATCATCAACCAGTAAAGGTCTGGAGACATTTTTATTTATCTGTTACTAATTAGAATTTAACACTGAAGTGTTTATGCATCCATGTTATACA